TGTGTGTGTGTGTGTGTGTGTGTGTGTGTGTGTGTGTGTGTGTGTGTGTGTGTGTGTGTGTGTGTGGGTGGTGTGTGTATGTATATATGAAATACATATACACACGCAATGACCATATAATATCGCTTTTTCATTCGCACATACCTTACACTTGAGCACCTCATCCTTCCACCTGGGATTGAGATAGTTATGCAGCACTGCTTTGGTTTTCAGTCGCTTGTACTCATGCTTAAGCCCAAACACTTCCACGGTGACTGCGGGCGAGCATATATCCTTAATGGACAGATGCGAACCCCCCAGAACCTATCCGACAAACCATACACAATACATGCATATGAGAATGGGATACTACGTATACAGGAATGGGATATACAAAACATGTGTATATCAGAATGGAGTATACAAAACATATGTATATGGAAATAAAATGTACAAACCATGTGTATGGAGAATAAAATATACAAAACATGTGTATATGGAAATAAAATGTACAAACCATGTGTATATGATAATTGTGTATATGAGAGAATGGCACATCAACAAACACAAAATATACAACACACGCATCACATCATATGTAACACTGGTGAACTGTTCACCTACACGCGGTAGCAACGCATAAGCACACAACTGCCTCTAATTAGTTTATAGAAAGAAAGCTCGTCAAGAAAAGGGGCTGGGTTTAAAGGCAGACTCGTATACGGATAGGATAGCAACTCAAATAACATCGGTGCAACAATATAATACACAAAGTACAAGCCGTGCTGCGTGTGAATAGGGATTAAGGAAGAACACATACACTGTCAACCTTACTTAAAAAAGTACACATACACTGTCAACCTTACTTAAGGAAGTACACATACACTGTCAACCTTACTTAAGGAAGTACACTTAAACTGTCAACCTTACTTAAGGAAGTACACTTACACTGTCAACCTTACTTAAGAAAGTACACTTACACTGTCAACCTTAAGGAAGTACACTTACACGGTCAACCTTACATAAGGAAGTACACTTACACTGTGAAC